ATTGCAGGGCTGTCTGGTTTGCTTATAATTGTTCAGTATCTTAAATTTCCATGCTGAACCATTTTAGGAAGTCTCTTTTCTGCTGACAAGTTTGGATGGTGAGTGATGGATTATATGGACTCCGACCCCCTGGTACGCCGACTACTAGGCCTGGACAGCGGCCCACACACGTTTAGCGGATATCATTAATATTATTGTACATTATTATTATTATTCAGATGTTCTAGATTAGCTTTTTATACTTTCAGTCCATTTATGTAACCGGGTCTGTCAGGCCCATATTAGAGGCCCAGACCCGGATTTTTCCTATATATACTCCTTATAGGAGGCTTGTAACTCATATGACAAATACTCATTCTATACACATTTCCTTCTTCTTCATCATTTCTCCTCCACTCGTTCAATTTCTCCTGTTTATACAATATGGGTATCAATTATCCAACAATGGTGCTCTCGTTGAGAGGTTGAACACAATCAAGTGAGAAAACCTCCCAAAACAACCAAAAATTCATCAAAAACGCAAGAAATACAGGCAAAAACGGTTCTGAAACGCCATTGAAGCTCTCGCCGCCACCCCTGGTCCAACACCATCGTCGCCGCCCCTGGTCCAGCACCACCGTCACCGCCCCTGGTCCTGCACCACCGTCGCCGCCCCTGGTCCAGCACCGCCGTCGCCGCCCCTGGTCCAGCACCACCGTCGCCGCTCCTGGTCCAACACCGCCGTCGCCGCCCCTGGTTATAGCCATAGCAACGAAGTACAAATCTATGGCCTATAAAACCTCCAGACATGCGTTCTCCGTCCAGATCCGGACCAACCCAGCAACCGGCAACGGAGTTGAGAGCGGCGCTGCAACGATCGACTCCAACTATCCTGAGCTCCGCCGCAGAAGGTGTCTCCTCTTCTTTGCTGCGTCGCACCACGCTCACCAGCCGCAGCTCACCCTAACCTCATGAACCGTGTCCGCCATTAATGGCGCTGGGAAGCTCTGTCCTCGAGCCCAAGCCAACCTCAAATCGCGTGGGCCGTTCACGGCTGGGAAGATCTGCTGCTCTGGAACTCCGGTCACTAAGGCGGCTTGAGGAACCTGTCGGTCAAGGACGCCCCAAGCTCGAGCTCCACCGCGAGGAAAGCTCGCAGTCGCGACTAGAGCTCTCCCCTCCTCCCCTATTCTGGCGACGACCGCAACGGACGACCACTCAAGTGTGATGGTCGTGGGTCTCCCCTCTCTGTCCGACGAAGCAAGGCTCTGGGCTGACGACTAGTTCCGGTGACATCTTTGGACCGACGATGGTGAGAACGGGGTGGTGACATCGATTTCTGGCCAAGGCAGAGCACATCCCAGCTCTCCGTACGTAGGACAGGGTGGAAGAGCTGCCTCCTTATCTCCACGCCTAATGCCAAGCTGCGGAATGTGAGTCTGGGCCAGATTAATTAAAAGTCTGCCAAGATTCGTACTAATTGGGACGCACCAAGAGTAAGGCAGTGGGCCAGACCACATGTGATATGCCCGCACACATCATTTGCAAAAGTGGTCAAGCACTTCAATTGACTCCAATCAACAATTAAAAAAGAAAAAGTCCCGCTGACTTTTTGGGCTAAGAGGGAAGCAGTGCGCCAGGTCATATATGATCTAACTAAATAGTCCATTATTCCAGCCCACTTCAAAAAGATAAGTACTCTTTAATTTTCATATTATTTATTTTTATTTAAATTAATTTTTTGTCGGGTTAATGTCACACTATCACGCACTTATGATCAAATACCTAGTAGAGTGTGGCTTGAGACCCATCACTAGGATTTAAAGCCCTGACTCCTCAGACACAAAGCCCTGTCTCCTCAGGCACAAAGTCCCGACCAAGACGGGCATGAAGACAAAACCCCGACCAAGTCGGGTACGAAGACCGGTCTTAGTCATTCCTCGAGTGGCGACTGGTCTTAGTCATTCACTCCCGATCGGGAACATAAATCCCAAGAAAAAATTTTATATGTATGATAAATGTGTAGGTACGAAGATGACTTTACTCATTTTCACCTCGTCTCCACTCGCCTCAAAGAGTGGGGATTGGGGGACTGAGAGGTCAGAGTTTTAGATGAGCAGAAAATATCACGCATGAGCAGGAACAAGAGCTGAGTCAGTTGAAGAGGAGCTGAGCTAGATTGATTATATCGGAAGGGACTTACCTTCCTTGTTTAATGTTGGGGGCGCTAGGTGTACTCTTTTTCCCTTTATTAGGATTTTTCCCCACTGGGTTTTTTCCTAGTAAAGGTTTTTAACGAGGCACCTCCCTATCATTGACAAGGGTGGTGGTCCCCCGGCTGAATAGGAAGAAACCAAAGACAGAAGAACGTTGCAGATACAGTTTGGACTACTCCCTTTCGTCTCGAGTACTCTCGACTCATGGAGTGGGGGACTCCTGATGGATTATATGGACTCCGACCCCCCGGTATGCCGACTACTAGGCCTGGACAGCGGCCCACACACGTTTAGCGGATATCATTAATATTATTGTACATTATTATTATTATTCAGATGTTCTAGATTAGCTTTTTATACTTTCAGTCCATTTATGTAACCGGGTCTGTCAGGCCCATATTAGAGGCCCAGACCCGGATTTTCCCTATATATACTCATTATAGGAGGCTTGTAACTCATATGACAAATACTCATTCTATACACATTTCCTTCTTCTTCATCATTTCTTCTCCACTCTTGTTCAATTTCTCCTGTTTATACAATATGGGTATCAATTATCCAACAGTGGGGTTCAATGATATGGAATCAAATCCACCAAATTGGTAATCTTAGTTTCAGTTCAGAGATGGAGACCAAGGATTTCAAGAATGTGTTCACGTTAGGAAATGGATCTGACATTTTAAGATCGAAAATAAATCAAACCAAATGAGATGAATAACCTGTTCATCTTAGGATCCTGTCATGCAAGGAGATAATGCCATTTCACATAAGGTTGATGGACCTACTGTAGTTGGAATGAATAAAAGCAAGATTGATGATACATTTGAAGGTTATACTGCAATTAATGGGTATGAATCTGTTCTTTGTTTCACTTATTCCTGTACTTTTCATTCCTATACTTTTCAATAATCACATGTAATAAATGCCCTTTCCAGTTTGACATAGGCTCACCTCTCAAGTGCAGCTGAAGAAATTCAAATATGTCTCCCTGGGAATTTGTGGTATCATTACTCAGACTTTTTTGCCTACTGAGTCCTTTATGTTTAATTTATATGTTCTACTAACTGTAGTTTTACATGTTAATGATTATACACTACATGAATAACGCTTAGGTGCTGACTTTTTTTTTGGGTTTGGACTGCATGCAATTGGATCAGTTTTAAGCTAATATGACATATAAAATATACATGGTTTAAACCAAAATTATCACTAGGTTTTATCCAATTGAGCATAATTGGCTCATTTTTACTCACTAGGTTTGGACTGCATGAATACTTTCTTTAGAAGTTGCTGTGAGTGTCTTATCAGAGTTTCGGACCATATCTCTTGACAGCTTAATTTCATTAGTATGGCTAAATCTTTAAAGCAAGTTTGGTTTGGTGAGCAAATTTTGTTCACCAAGTATGGTTTTCACCAAACCAAATTCTGATATTTAACATTAGTAATCTTACCAGATTATTTTGTCACCCTCTTTTATATATTACGTTTGAGATTTTTTATACTAATTACTCTTTCTTGAGATTTTATATGAAGGTATTTATTAATTATTTAATGAATAATGATAAATTGTGGTTGGATAGGTTGCCACCTTTTTATTCACAAATAAAAAAATTCTGACATTTATCATTAGGAGTCATTCCAGATTATTATATGATTCTATTTATCTATGACATTTCTGATTGCTATATTAATTACTCTTTCTTGTGATTTTAGATATTATTTTTTCTATTTTGTAAATTTATTCATGTTTTTTTAACTTTCACAACCACTTCATGAATTCTATTTTTTTTATCTTTCTCATCTACTTCATTTATAGGAACAATGGCGCCTAAAAAGGTGTATCTGGGAGACGTTGTGAAGAACTTACCAAGCAATTCTGCTTTCCTGGTGAGAGTGACTCGGAAATGGAATGCCCTTTTTGGAGAGAAAAGTCGAGACATCAAATCCATTGAAATGATTTTCATGGATGAAAAGGTTACACATTTTTTCCTACTCCACACTTTTATATTAACGATGATAGAACATATAACAGACATCAGGTTGGTAAATACACCAAAAAAGAATAAATTGTTTTAAAACAATATTTTCTCTAGGTTTAAATTTGAAACGAATTGAGCATTATTCGGTTCTTATATTAATACTTAATTTTCAATATAATTTTTTAATATCAAGGATACACCATATCATATACATTAGTGTTATTTATATAACTAATATAGAAACTATGTGAAGATGAATCTGAACTGTTAGATTGTGTTATGTGAGATTGAATGTGCATGAGATGAAACTGAAGTGTGAATTAGATAAAATTGAAATATGAATCACAAAGGGTATAACACAATGAAATTATTTGAAGATGAATCGTGCATTAGGTGAAACTGAAATGTGCAGAATAAAATGTACGATGCGGTGACATCTTTATACCTTTTATTCTACACATTTCAATTTTACCTAATATAGACGCATAATTGAGCTTTATCTTTTGCTATTCACAATTCAATTTTTTCTAATGCACATTTAAACACAATTCATTTTCACATAATATTGTCCAACAATCCAAATTCAGAGCCTATTTGGTGACGATATTTTTCGCTTTTTGATTTTGCGCGCTGAATGCTTGATTTTTGAAATAATAAGATATTTACTTAATAACCTTTCTTTCATAAATCAGCCAATACTGTCACTTCGACCAGAACTTCATAAATTTCAGCAGAATAAGTCAATGCAGTCGATTTGTGTATTACCAAATGGGCTCTAATTCTCATGCTCATTTCTCTAGCCTGAACCACTCAGCCCACCACACAGCCCGCTAGCCGAAGTGCCCATCTACTCAGCCCAACAGAGCCCCTCAATCCCTCCTGCCATCCTGTGCGCAGCAACAGACAATAGGAAGCGGACGGTTGACGCGTCCAGACTCCGGGCAGAACTTCCGACTTTCAGTTTCTCATTCCGGCCTTCCAGATTCCTCTTGCCGCCGCTCGCCTCGTTAGAGACCGGAATTTCAGGGACGCAACAAGCTCCCCTGCCTTGCCGATTTTAGGGGTCTGCTTCCGTTTATAAATTTAATTTCACTTCACAAGTATTTATATACTCCGTATATTTTAACCCAAAACAACACTTACTATACCGATGCAGGGAAACAAAACAAGTCTATTAAAAGAGAAATGGAAAACACCGCTGTTGATTCGAGTTTCCACCGCACTTTCAAATACCTACTAGGTTTGTCAATTTGAATATTAAGTTAAATGTCCTCCCTGTGTGGTCCAGTATTATACATAACTGTATACGTGTATAACAATGATCTCCATTTTCAGCTACACAATTTCTGTCAAGGGGAATCCCGTTCGTATTCAATTCCTGGATTGTTAGACATCTATCAGAAGAAGATTATGTGGTAAATTACAGTTTTTTGAACTCTAACTATTGTTTTTATAATTAGTTTCAATAATTCCTTATGGTTTAGTAGCTTTGCTTTGGGGGAGAGAATGTAAAAAAGTTATGGTAGTATATCGAGGAAAAAGAATTTGTTCTTCTTGGCGATTGAGAATTTGTAATCAACTTTATGAGAAATGATGGAAGCATGCTGATGGTTTATGCTTTGTTTGGAAGCAATTAAATCTGATGGTTTGGCTAAATCAGAACTCAAAGAAAAACACTTGTCGGTCCATCACGAGTTATTATAAAAATGGTATGTTGAACATTCACGTGTCTTCTCGAAATTGATTGAGAATGGTTACACTGGACTAGGGTTGTAAAGGAACCGAATCGAGTCGAATAGTGAGATTTTGTATTTGTATTTGTTTAATTTTTTTGAATACAAATCCAAATTCGAATATGAAACGAATATAAATTTCGATTTGTATTTGTTTAACAATACGAATAGTTAACGAATCATATACGAATATCGAATCGATTTGAGCATAAGTTAAATATTAGTCAAATATCACTTCAAAATAACTTTTCCTATATTTTTATGTTATAAATGAATGTTGTGACTTAATATGATTTTTTAGAATTTGATTTGTAACATTATATTTTCTTAAAAATTAATGGATCAATGCACTTTTAGATTGTGTATAATATAGTGAATCAATTTTATGATTTTTTTTAATATACATCTATTCGAAACATTTTGAAATGAACACTAACGCACACATATTAGAAATTATACTTATCATGTGTGAAATAAGTTGATAATTGTATATACCAAAGTCAAACTACTCTAATTTTATGTTTTATATTTAGCGTTGCTGCTAATAAAAATCCATTAGATATACAGAGAATAATTTAAACTACACACACATAGAGGATAGTTGATACATGCACATGCATATTATGTAGTTGATTTTGTATATGTATAAACGAATATATTTGGTTATTCTTTGAATTGAATACATAATCATTTGTATTCGTATTTGAAAGATATTTGAACCAAAAATCCGATTTGTATTTCTATTTATATTTTATATTTTCAAAAATAAATCAATATTTTTGAATTCAAATCACGAATCGAATTAAAGTTATTTGCTTCATTTACAACCCTTACTCCGTATGGTACTTCTGATTTGTTACAAATAGGCTTGGAATTTGTGTACATAAATGTATACATGGGCTACACTTTGCGGGTATATCTATCTTTTAATAATTATAATAATGTTATCACTATTATTATTGTTACTATTATCACTATTATTTATCGAATATATTTGATTAACATTCGAATCCAATACATTGATATTCTTCATTGTATTTGATAACCATTAATCAAATTTAGTATTCTTATTTGTATTTGAAATTTTCGAATCCGAATAACCTTATACGAATTCGAATTGCGAATCGAGCATAAATTATTCTATGCATTTACAACCCTACACTGGACTTATTCAGGCCCTTTCAAAGTTTAACATGGGCATTTGCAAAGATATCAACTATCAAGAGCATAGTTCAGAGTCTTGGAGCCTCACTATATTTAAATTATGCATTTTAATTAATATGATTTTATGTAAGTGATCCTTTTATTTCTGTCTCTGTAGAAGACGATATGCATGTAAGACGATATGTATGTAAGCACGGTGAGTAATTTTGCGGAAATGAAAAAGATGCATTATTGATAGACATTCCTATGTGGCACACGTCTGTTTGATTGATGATCACAGAACTATTTTTCATTGCCCAATGAATGTGTGGCAAATAAGAATGTGATTTAACAATGTCTAGTTTCAATATATCCCAAATCTTCTTGAAGAATTATTACTTTTCTGTAAATGCTACCTGTTTTTTTTTGTATCTTGAAGTACCATGTAAAGTTTATTTTTACACAATGCAGGTTTGTGCTGTACGATTCCATCTGTTTGTGACATGCATATTGTTTTTGAGTAGAGAGGGATTCAGGCGAATTTGCATGAGGGAAGATATTACATGGTATTTTCAATTGGGTTCATGAGCATTGTTATTGCCTTCAATATGCACATTTTGTTGATCCCCCAATTCTTGTCTCACCCAGTTGGTTGCCTTCAGTATGCCTGAGTGACTTGCTTCCTTTTAATTTTTGATATGTAATGATGCGATTTTAATGGAACATGGTGATAGAGAGCCGGAAGAACGTGGGGCATGGACGGGCTTGAGCCCACATTCCGTGGGCTGGCTTAGTTATTTTAATTAGTTCCTTTAGTTATTCCCTTTTATAATGTTTCCTATTTTATTTTGTTGCCTAGTATGATTTGATTAGGACTTCTATTAGAGTTGGAGGTTTCCTATTCTTTTTAGTTCCCTAGAATGGTTTAATTAGGACTTTTATTAGAATATATTTGACATCGGCCAGCGACAGTGGCTCTTTCGCGCACGTCGCATCTGCGCAATCAATCGACGGAGGGTTGCGCAGCACCGCCCTGATTCCCTCGTTTGACGGCAAAGACCCGATTATGTGGATCACTAGGGCTGCCATGGAAGGGGCTGCCCTCTATTGGGTAACCTGGCTGAGAGCACGCAAACCCGACATGACCTGGGAGGAATTCAAGCAAGCTTTGGTGGCCAGATTTGACTCCCAATTTAAGGGGAACAAGTTTGAACGGCTGTCCGGCATCAAACAGGATGGGTTAGTGGAGGATACGATACCCTGTTTGTTCAGTTGGCCAGCCAAGTTCCGGAGTTGTCTGATGAACATTATTTGGGATACTACATGAATGGACTGAAAGAATCAATCCGAAGCTCGTTGCGCTTATTTCGACCAAATAACTTGGAAGAGGCCATGGAGTTAGCTCGCGATGTGGAGTACAATCTGTCGGTTCAGAGTGGAGGAAGAGGCAGTCCAAATATAATCCTATAGGGACACGTTCCAGCAGCTTTTCACTGCCAAACACGGGTCCTCTGCTGACTGCCAGTGGTGGCAGCATACAGGGATCGAATTGCAGCTTCCCAAAAGATAGTGGGCAGCCCCCGGGGACAAATTCAGGGCTGTCCGGGCACTCTATTGCACGCTCTAGGTTCAATCGACTTCTGCCGAAAGAGTTAGCAGAATTGCGGGGAAAAGGATTATGCTTTAGGTGTGAGAAGCCATTTACACCGGGGCATGACTGCCCCTTTAAGCAGCTACGGGTAATGATAGTTGAGGAGGATGGGGAGTTGGATCTCCAACAACATGAGTATTGTGAAATAACCGGCCACGAAAAGGTTCCCAAATGCCAGGGGGTCCGGAAGGAGATGAGGGATATTTTTCACTCTATTCTGTGGCTGGAATTTTCATCCCTCGATCTACGAGATTTCAACCTTGAGGACAAGGTTATTTGAAAGGAGGATGGATTGATAGAGAGCAGGAAGAACATGGGGCGGGGACGGGCTTGAGCCCACCTTCCGTGGGCTGGCTTAGTTATTTTAACTAATTCCTTTAGTTGTTTCCTTTTAATATGTTTCCTATCTTATTTTGTTGCCTAGTATGATTTAATTAGGACTTCTATTAGAGTTAGATGTTTCCTATTCTATTTAGTTTCCTAGAATGGTTTAATTTGGACTTCAATTAGAATTAGAGGTTTCCTATTATGATTTAATTAGGATTCCTATTCTTTCTAGACTTAAAGGGTTATTTAGAGCCCGTTTGGTAGCACCAAAATCGGCTGTTTTGGCTGATTCTGCTGAAATTTATGATATTCTGGCTGGAGTGGCTGTTTTGGCTGATTCTGCTGATTTAAGAAAAAAATATTTTAAAAATATATTTTATTAATAAATTAAAGAAAAAATTATATGTAAAAATAGCTAAATGGTCCTCTACAGTAACTTCAGCCAATACAGCCAGAAAAGTAACTCCAACCTTACTTTTTCGGCTTATTACACAATTCAGCGCGCGAAAGTAAAAGTTACGTGTTTGGTGAAAAAGCTGGCTGATAAGCCTGATAAGCCGAAAACAGAGTTCTCCAAACGGGCTCTTAAACCCCTCGTTTGATTCATTCTTGGCCATCATGTAATAAAGTTAGATTTTAGCCTTTTGGCTCTGGGCAACAGTTTTTATCGTTGATTATCTGGGCAGCAGTTTATCCCGTTGATATTTTATTTTTCTGCTCTCTTCAAATGGTCATAGCACCCTGCAGATTCCTTGTCATTATTTTTCATATAGATGGCATAGACTGCATATCTGGATACATAAAGCTTCTTTCATTTTGTTTCATATAAGGTAATTTTTTGCTTAGTGGTCTGGTGCATTACATAGCGACTATATCAACTATCTCAACCCAAGCTGTCTCATGATATTTTCTCCGTAATGAGTAACTTTTATCAATGATCGGTGATGGTTTTGAATATTTCATTATTTCTTACATTATTTCTTACATTATATGACATCACTTTCATGCCGCTGACCCAACATTGTTTATATTAAGGTGGTGATGGTGATGAATGTACTGAAATCAAGCACACGTGAAATGTTAATTTTGCATCTCCGTACAGTTTTGTTAAAGTAATCTGAAAATTTGATTTTGCAGGGATGGTGATTCAGCAGCAGGAGAAACTGAAGCTCAGATTTTGAAAGTCGCCTGGATGACCTTCCCATTAGGGGTACTGGTCACATTTTCTGCTTGTTTGATTGTATTCTGGTGGCAAGATCTGGGTTATTCCAGTCCTTATGGACGAGCTATCTTGATTAATGGTAAGAAGCTAATAACACTATCACATGCTTCACGAAATTAATTATCCTAGCGCATTAACACGCAAGCTATGTCTTAAGGGTTGTAGATTGTTAGAATTGGACAAAGTTAATAAAAAGGTGATTCTAAATTCGGAATGCATTTTTGGGGGAAAGCTAAAATAAATATTCCGGGAGTGACAGCTCAACTTTTAACGGCACTAAGAGTCCAAGAGGCAAACTTAAATGTTTCGGTCCTTTTTTGCTTTATTAATGTTGCCATTTAATTGTTGTCTGTGTCATCTGTTGGTTTTTTATTATTGTTCAAAGGTTTTTACTATAAGCATAAGCACCTGACATTATTCATTAATAATTGATTGTGGGGAGCGGATTGTTGAAAATGGGTTTGCATGCGTGCTCTTTACCTTCTGATCATATTTTCTGGTGGAGAAAGAGAATGGTTGTTTAGTATACTCTGTAATTAAGTTTTCTTCCATCATTTTTTTGTTCAATAGTTGTGAATTGTGTTTTAATATGTAAAAAAATCACATGCAGGTTTTGCATGCATTCTTGAGCTACTGGCAGAACCATTCTTTATTTTGGCCCAAAAATTGGCTCTTCTCAAATTGCGGCTGATTGTTGAAACTGCTGCCACTCTTTCACGTTGTATAGTAACATATGCTCTCATCCTGAAGCAACCAAGCTCGGTAAGTAGTAATGCTAGATGTGTTTTGTGGTTTCCTTGCGGGGCCTATGCTGGTATTAAGTGTATCAGTAATTCAGTATGGTAAAATAAACTTATGCGAGTCCCGTGTGATATGATAAGAGTAATAAGACCTAGATGAATTACATTTCGTATTTCATAATGTGGACACCAAGGATGTCAAAACCGTAAATTGGAATCGAACTGGTGAACTAAATAAAACACGAAATCATGAATCGATTTTTTTTACTAAAAGTGATTAAAAAGTCCTAAAATTAGTGACAAGAAAATTAAAAATAAAAGTTTGATTAATAAATTAAAAAATGGGTTAAAACCACTTCAAATGTGATCTAACCCATCCTGTAAAGTTACCCACAGCAAATCTACAAATCCAAGCACTTCCCTTTTCATGGTTTCTCTCCTTCAAAAAACGGCCATTTTTATCAGCCACATACACCAAAAAAGAAACGGGGCATAGCAATCAATAGCAAAAAGCCCGGAGAGAAGACATGTGAAATATACCATCTCCTATCTCCTTCAATGTCTCATTTAATTTGAATAACAAGAACTATGGAGAAGAATGCAATCGGTGATCTATTGGCTCGATGTTAAGATTTTGATTCAGTGGTAAATAGCTTATATATTTCTCTTTCAGTTTGACGCTTAATAAACACAAAAATAACTGGATTTGATTCTTCTAGACTACCTTTGATTTGTTTGAGTTGCAGGCTACAGTTTAATTTGATATATTTGAAAATTGCACAGATAGCTAACACCGCGATTTGACACGATTCCAATGATTTTGACCATTTTTACTCAATTACAATTTTCTTTGTGATTGGATTGGCACAACTAGTTTGAATCATGAAACCAGACGATTTTACAATTCTAATCACGATTTTGACAACCTTGGTGGACACATCTGCTCCACCGCTGCATAGAAGATGTGAAGAACTTGTACTTAGGTCTGCATAGTTAAACTGTTGTTTGGTAGTTACTCTGTATCAAAGGTCAAGTAGTGAATAGGACATTTACTTAGCCTTGCATTATTTGTTTTAGAAATATATGCTTCAATCCTGAATACTCTAATACTTTAGTCTAATAAACAATGTTTTGAAAGCCTAAGTCGCCCGCCTGCCTCACGAGGCATAAGGCTAAAGTCTTTCCATTATTTACAATGGAGCCAAAGACTCACTATTTTTTGGCTTGAGAATACGGTGGAATAAAGCAAAATGACTCATTAAACTGTCTGCGCATCTTTGTTATGAAGCAGCAGTTAGTCCATGTAATTTTCAACGCGATTCTCACTATGGGTCATCCGGAAACAGTCTCTTTGTGCTTTAGTACAAGGGTAAGACTGCTTACATCCGACCCCCCGTACCCCACCGTAGGTGGGAGCCTTTGCGGCACTGGGGTAATGATGATGATGATGATGATGAGGGACTCGGACACTCCTCCTAATACGAATAATACCAAGTCTATTAATATTGTATATTAAAAGGGTCCTAGGACCAATAATCTAGGGCTGAGGGCCGGCCCTTTAGGATAGTATTATATGAGCGGGTAAGGGGAAAAGGGGGAGGACATTGGGACCGGGACTTGGGAATTGGGAGTGTGAGACTACCCGAAGTGTCTCAATAGTATATGTTCTCTTTCTTTCTTTCTACACCATTGTAATCCTGTTGGATTTTGAAATCTTTTCATCAATATTTATTATACTAATTCTCTACTGTGTTGTTGAGTTCTCTACCAATAACGTAATAATAAACAGGGTAAAATAGGTATTTTGTAGTTTATAATGATAGTTCAATGGCATCAAAATTTGAAATGTTGGAATATACATAGTATTGTTCTTTTAAGGAAAAAAAGTAAGTCAACAAGACAGAAATGATAAAATGTGCATGCCAATCATAAAAACATACAACATTTCAAGTCTTAGGGTATGTTTGGCACAACTAGCTACAAAAATATTTTTTGAGCTTTTTAGTAACTGTAAGCTTTTAGTGACTAAAAGAAAAAGATGGTAGCTGTTTAATAAAAAGCTTATTGTTTGATTTAGTTCTGTTTGGTATATTCGGTGTACTTAGTGACTAATTATTGCTAAAAGCTATAGATTGTTCTCAAAAAAGATCTTTTAATTTGAAAAAAAAAACATTTAAAAATTGTCATGCCAAACATACAACTAAAAGCTTTTAGAGACTTTTTAAATAGTACAAAAGCTAGATGGTAGAGACTTATGCCTACCAAACATGCACATAAGGTTCTAACTTTCTAACTACTAACTTTCAAAAGTAACGACATTAGTCAGTGCATTATTATCTACATTTGTAATTGCATCCTAATTTTCATCTCCTTTCATATCACCACTAAATGACTAAAAAGAAAGAACTTACCCTTTATGTTTAGTCTGTTCTTGGAAATTATGAAGAATATTTCCCCCTCATTACCATATTTCCTAGGGCTGTGGTAACTGCATCAATAATTGTAAAGCTTCAAGTTGAGCTCTTAACTCTAGAGTCTGAAGGCTGATTCAATTTTTTCTCTTAGAAATATTGCCTTTCACAGTTCCACTACTTGATGTTCATCTTGTAGTTGTTTGTATGATGACTTTGCTATCTAAAGGCTAAACCATGTCTTTCACAACTTTCCCTTATCATGCATCCTAACCTGAAACTTTGAGATTTCTTCACAGATTTCAGCTTCCTTACCACTACATAATACTTCAATGCAACTTTCCACTTCATAATAAATTCAAAGCAACGTTCTTTCTCACAATACTTCAATCTCTTAAGTATCTCCTAGGGTTAGAGGTAAGGTATATGTACTTGTCACCCTCCCTTGACCTTACTTTCAACTGCGGCATACTGGGTATGTTTACTGTCTTGATCTAGAGAATATTCAGTTAGCACACTTGTATTCTGACTGGGTTCTTTTTACCTGTCTTATAACTTGTAAATTTATATTCATTTTTTGCTTGGCCATTGTATTGCTGAATTTACCTGTTTGTGTAGTTTCCAAGTCCGTTTAACTGCACCTGCTGATTATTGATAAGTCACGTATGGCATGAATTGCAGGAGAAAGCAATTGTATTTTCGATGTCACAGGTTGCGTATGGAGCATCTATTTTCATAGGCTACTGGGCTTACTTTCTTCTGTGCCAATTATACACAACTCGTGTTCTATTTCCGTTCCGGTAGTGATTTTGATTTTTCCAATCATCTTCAGCTGTGCATTCTTTCTATGTAAAAGCGGAAGGGGGTAGGGTAGAAATTTTGTTTCATAATGGAATTCAAACGCGGTTGAAGGTTCCCTTGTCAGTGAATGACTCCTGTTAGATTACTTAGATAACAACTCATCGCATGAAGTTTTGGTAGTTTAATAGCTCTCTGAATTCTATGAAGTTCAAAGATGTGATGTGTGCACGGTCGACTGTTAGCAAAACAATAGTTAATAATAATAATAATAATGCTGTAATATATCTGTAGAGTTGATGTCACTGTTTATTCATAATAAGAGATGCAGTAGATTATAAATACGGGAAGGATAAATTTTTGTTTTCTTACACTTCTGTCCAATATTTTGGAGTTATCCCCGACTATCAATAAAAAATCTTTGTTGCATCACTGCATTGTCCCTGCCACGTTCCCATTATAGGAGATAATGAGTAAAAAGGGGAAATGTTTTCGTCACATCCCATACACATAATGCCCTTGTTTCTATAAGTATCTGTGATTATTGATAATTCACAGGTTGAAGATACATCCCTTTTTAAGTGTACTATTTTTTCTAGATCCCAAAATGATATCATCCAGATATTGCTGCTGGTTTTTATAGATGCCATCCAGATCAGTATTGTCTATAATAGGTGCTTGTGATAAAATGCATTGCCGTAGCCAACAGTACTTCCATCTTTTATTCTTGTTAGATATGTATAATGAAACAGTGAGTGTCAAGATATTGGAAGATGAAGTAGTTATACATAAGTACTTATTTCGTACAAAATGCGAAGTTACAAAACAAAGTTTTTATACTTAATGTTTGAATTTCTATTGGTATTATCTTATATGGTGAGGCTTACACTTTGATTGATGATCATACGTTGTGACGAGACTCAAAACACCTCAATGCACATTTTAGCTTTTCGAAACATTGGTAGTTCTCTGAACCCCTTTCTATGTATTTTATCCAGTTACAAGGTGCTTCAGTTTTTGGTTGACTGTTTGTCCTAAAGATCCTAAAAAGACGTCATCCAGAAAACACTTCTGACTTCCAATAGAACCAATGGTCTTAGTGCACTTATATGGACCATGTGTGCATGGCATTTTCTGAAAGAATTAGTTTAAGGTTTTTCTACAAAAATATTACTAAAATAAAATTTACTTACATAAATATGACTAATAGTTACTATAGTGTCATGGTAACTTAAGTTTAAAAATTGAACATAATTACTATAATTTCATTACCACTATAGTCACAAGTCGCATTTTTGTAAACAATCTTTATTTTAGTCATGAATATGTAATTTTTTCTTAGTTTAATGTAGCTTCCTAATTTGAGTTGAATAGGGGTTTTCAATAGATTAAGAGACTAGTTCTTTTAGTTCTCACTGTACTGATAATGTTGTTGTTGCAGGATAGGAAATACAAAAAGCTATGATCAACGGCTTGTGAACATGTGCATGATACTTAATCTTCAATCCGTTCAGAAGTTGATTCTTCAGGAAGGTGAAAGGATGGTCCTTGTATGGTGTGATACACCATATCACCAATCAGTATATGGACTTGTAGACAAACTAGGTAAATCATTCCTGGGCCATATACTTGGTGGGGGGTTTCTTTCGTTCACTTGTTCCTTCCCCCCCGCTCCACCCTTGTATAGTATCTGATGTTTGATATAGACTATGCATGCACGTGTATATCTTTTTCAATCTCCCTTGCACTGTTTGATCAGTGCTCTAGAGATAACATATTGCTTTTTCAGGGAGCCCAGTGGTGAGGCTGATTTTTCTTCCCTTTGAAGAAAGCTCATATGCAACGTTTGCAAGGCCTGCATCAGGTTTTTATCAGATCCTTATGTACATGTATATGTAGGTATATTTTTCACTTGGGTCGCATCCTAAAAAGTTAATTTTCATGGCCTAAAAAGCTTATTTCCTTAAAATATGTAATAGAATGATTTTGTTGTCCAGTTATAAATAATACTCCCTGCGTCCCACTATAATTGTCCCATTATTCCTTTTCCGTCCTTCCCACTAAATTTGTCCCATATCATATTTGATTATATTCATGTGGCTCTAATTCATTCTTACTTCATTTTCACTTTATCAATTCATTATCAGACACATAACTGTACTTTTCTTAACAACCGCACCACTCTCCTTTTTCCCAATTTTGGGGGGCAGAGTTAGTAGTACCTTTATATGTAGCAGTGTAGTCGCTGACTGGAACAACCCAAATTATGAGATCACTTCTTACAGATGATCAAACTATGAATCTGTTTGTTTATATTTTACAAATGACCCATCCCACAGGAATATAGATGCTATTATTCTAAAGGGACTGAAATGCTTTGGGCAAGGTCCTGATATGGTGGACTCGTCGAGAGACTCAACTTTGTCAGCCAGTAATTAAGCTAGCAATTATATGATGTTGTTAATGAAAGAAACGTCCTATTTTTACTACTCAAAAATCTTGAAGAGCAACTAAATGGAGTACTAACCTATTGGAATATTTCTGTTATGAACATATTACAAAATTAGAATATCAATTACTAATAGGAAACAATTACAAATAACAATACTAAGAAACCGACCAGACTTTGACAATTGTAAAATACACATAGACTAGACATCTACTAGACCAGACCAGACTTAAAAAATTCAGTCCAAGTAAAACATCCTAATATTCTAATAATAATAATCTTTGGATAATAACAACAGTAATACCCACAAGAACAACAATTAGAAGACTCTTTCCGCAATACTCTGCTCTTTTTGGTCCGTGTTGCTTTAGGACGAGTCACATCATATCAAGGTCCCTCCAAGTTTTAGCAACAAAGGAATCCAAGTGAATTTAGCTCGGTTCCATACTATAAAGTGTCCATGGACTGAATTTCAATTAATTTAACACTAGATAACAAATAAAACAATACGGAGTATTTTTAGAGTCTTCAATAAACAAGGATTAGAAAACTGATCCTTCTAGATGTGTTCAAGTAAAGGGACATAAGTTTTCAATCTAGGAATTGATTATAAGCCCATATATGTCCAACTTGATGTGGTCCCATAGTTATTCTCATCTTAGATTTAGAGCAAATTCATTCATCACAAAAGAGTTGTGCACTTGCAGGAGATCAAGAACGGAAAAAGGAGAAATTGGGAAGGAGTCTGACAGATGCGCTGAAGCTTGTTTTGCTTATTGGTAGGTAACTGGGTATTACAAATTAATCGGTTATGTTTGATGATGTACAGGTTTTTAATGGTCAATTATACCACTTGCACATTTTTTCAAGATTATTTTGAGTTGACCTTAAGAACCGGCTGTTTGGACTGACATAATATCTTATACTCCCTCCGTCCCAGTTTGTGTTGCAAAATTGACTTTTTTGGGGTCAAGCAGACTCATTTTATTCACTTAATTAGGACATCAATTCTTAATTAAGTTTTAATTTGGATTTGTAGCTTTATAGAGATCTTAATGTAGCTTATGAATATGTAGATTTTAGTTATTAAAATTGAATTAATTATCAATAGGAAGGATTTAACTTCAGTTTGAGCGAGTCAGTTTATTGTTCTTCCATGCGGTGAGAAATATTCCATAATAAGGTCCAATTCTGGACTTTGAATGGTAGTATTAGTCCCCTTGATGATGCGTTTTTTTAGCCAGTAATACATCTTTTCCTTTCCTTTTTCTCCTAAAGCTTAACATTTTGATTGACAGGTTTAGTTGTTATCGCATTTGGTCCAAGCTATTCATATTCCCTCATCAGATTGCTGTATGGTAGAAAATGGAGCGATGGAGAAGCTACCAAAGTACTCCAATGTTATTGCCTTTATGTCATAGTTTTGGCCACGAGCGGTAAATTTTTGCAAATGTAACTTGGTTGTATTTTGTTTGTCGGTTAAGATATCCCGAAGTTGGCTTTTGCCGAATTTTATGCTACATAGTAATGTTGATTGTTTTATCTGCTTGTTTGGAAATATAAGATATTGCATTTTCAATTAGGGACGTCTGAAGCATTTCTACAGGCAGTTGCAACAAAGAAAGAACTTAAACGGTCAAATGGTTCATTGCTTGCCTTCCCATTGATATATGTGATCATTAACGTCTTGCTTATCAGATCAGCAGGCGCAGTTGGATTGATTTTAGCAAACTCTCTGCGTATCCTTTTCAAAATTTCTCTAATTGAGGTCATTCGAATTTGAAAAGTTATGTGTTGATTAATTGACGGTCCATATAGTCTATGCTTCTGGCCTTCTTTGACTGCAACAGATATGATCCTCAGGATAGTTTACTCAGCGGTTTTCATCAAAAAGTATTTCAAGGTAGCATTGCTCTGATATTATTAATGCATACATAATAATAGTTTTAATTATTTCTTTGACATTTTAGAATTGCCACAGGAATCATCATCCTTTGCGTTTAGAGCTTGCATGCCTGGAGGTTATGAATTTGTGTTGGTTTCAGGAGTAGCCACCTTCATATTTGAAAAGATGTACCTTAACCGAGACAACTTCTCGGCCACCTTTACCGTTCACTTCTCATTTGGTTTATTCTGTTTTCTTGTGGCCGCTTTCATAATGTGAGTATCATTTTATGCATTTTTTCTCTTATATCATGTCAATGCACTCTTCTATTTGAGTCTAGACCTTTGGGGAAAGAGTGTATACATTACACATAATGCATATACATGTGTGTGTGCGCGTGTGTGTACATATGCATAAATTTGTATGTGTGTGTATATATATGTGTGCCTGTGTGTATATAATATGTATTATGTATGTGCATCTAGATTTTGGATCAAATAAAAAGTGTCTTTCTCATTAGAAATAAGAATAAACTAGGTGCATCAGATTTAGGATACAATGGCTCGAATATGTAAAATATGCATTAGGTTAAGTTAAAAATGCTGCTACATTTCTCAAAATAATTTAAAGTGTTTCTTCGTTACAAAAAATACATTTCCTGAATGCGGTAGTGTGCTATATATAAATATATAATCAAAAGTGGAAAGTGAGTAGTGGGTTATATACTTATATATGATCAGAAGTGGACTCTATGTGTGTCAGTGTGTGTATGCAAACGGCACACACGTTGTACTTGATGTGTGCCCTTCTATTGATTGACTAATTCTATTTATGATAATTTTTATGATCAGCTATCAAAAGGAGAGGCCTTTTATCGCGAAAATTATACGCTTCCGCGAACACGCTGATTGAATGTGCTAAAGAATTACATCTTGGTTAATAGGGTTTGTGAAAAGTTTTTCTCTATTTCAAGATCAAGGAATCATAAGCACCGAGAATTACGAGGATATTATTGTCTAATGATACGAGGATTATGAGCATTTCTGGTATACTATGCTTGCTACCAGATGTTCACCCCACTGTTTATAATTCATTTGCCTTCCACAAAATTATGTCACGGAATTTGTACAACCATATGTTTTGTATTCAATCCTCTTGAGTGTTGAACCTATCTAGTAGAGTAGATAATTTTAGTTTTTCAAGGGAAAATTGGCCCTCAGCACAATCTTAAAAATGAAAAAGTACTAGTGTAACACCCGGGCATGCCCCGGTAGTGTTACTTTGATAATTATTAAAGTAATAATAAACATCTATGGAGATTAGGGGTGGAGCCGGGCCCAGCCTAGGCCCGATCGGGACCGGCCCGGGTTGCAACCGGGTCGGGCCGGGCCTTAGGCTAGTTTTATTTTATTTCCACTTTTTAAAATTAACCCCCAACCCCCCCCCCCCCCCCACAACCACCCCAAATGGCCCAAAATACCCAGCCTAACACGGGAAATAAAAAAAAAAAGAATAAAGCCCGAACCGGGCCCAAGACCGGCTGGGCCGGTTTCATATTTCCCTGACCCGTACCCGGCCTGATTTCCCCCCAAACCATTCCGGGTAGGCCTGACTTGAGGGGTTTCCGGTCTGGGCTCGGCTCATCCAAAACATGAACCGGCCGGTCCGGGCTTGGGCTATTTTTTTTCAATTTTTTTAAATCCCGTAGTTGGGTTGGGTATTTTGAGCCATTTGGGGTGGTTTGGGGGGTCGAGGGTAATCAAAAAAAGGAAAAAAAATTGTAATTAGCCCGAGGCTCGGCCCAGACCCGGATTGGCCCGGTGGCTATTCGGGCCGGTCTTGGGTGCACCTATTCGGAACTGGTGGCCCGCCTGGGCCTAGGCCCAACCTGGACCCGACCTGGCCCGAATCTAGCCCTAGATTTAGGTAGATAATTACGAATTCTTTATAAATTTTTTTCATTTTCCTAAAGTGATACTCCATGTCACATATTTACGTATCGACTATCAATTAATGTTAAATTGTAAATTGTGAAATTCGAACTACATAATGTTTAGTTCAACTTTGGTAATCAAGTGGCTGGTCTTTACATGTGTAAGTCAAATGTAGAGATGAAAATTATGACAAATCCAATGAATACCCGCACCGAAACACTTCGTTCAAAACTTGGAAAATTGCATTGATTGTGTAACGGGTATGGAGAGGAGAATGCCCATTTTTATGGTTACCCAAGCAGTTACAGTTTTGTACATGCACGCGCCCATTACCTATTTGTACCCGCCCCGTTTATTTTAATTATATATTATTTTTTTCTATTATTTGTCCTATAACTAATAAAATATAAGATTTTCCGCTTTTCATTGTATCGTATCCTATCCTATACCCAAAAGCACTACACTGGAGCGAGAAAGTTCTGCCCGGTGCAAGGTCTATTCTGCAATTTTCTTCGCTAAGGCTAATCGCCCCTCTCTTCTCCTCTTCAGCCTACACCCGTATTTCTCCAATTTTCTGTCTTTTCTTCTCTTCTCCAATTCCACCAGAAGCAACTCCTGTGATTTCGATGAGTTCTTCTTCCATAATCCACACTTCACTTTCAAATCCATCTGATTCAGTTTAGGGTATGGTCAATTCACCGCGTCACGGCTCCATTTTATCCATCGTATTTGGAAACCCTCCACACCAAGGCACCAAGCCGGCGATCGTTGCTAGAATTGAAGATATTGACCACCTCTGTCTACCTCTCTCAGCCACAGTGGAAGAGGAAATCTCCATCGCCGGGGAGGACATGGGGCTTATAGCTTTCTTCTTCAAATATAATCTCAGACCCTTCTTCATAAAGTTAAGTTTTCCCATTCATTATTCTTACAATCTTCATTATTCTGATAATTAAGGCCAGTTGATCAATTTTGGTTTATGTATATATAGATTATCAGATCTAAAAAAAGATCTTTTATTTTGTAAAAAAAAAAACTCTTAAAAATTGTTCAACTATAAATGGCTTAAGGCAACACTTCAAAAGTATTGCATTACACCCCTAATGTGTTGCCTTAAGGATCTATGGCAACACATTTCCATTTTTAAAAGTGTCGAAATTTTTGCCGTTGCTGTAGGTGTCTATGGCAACTAATAAAGAAATGTTGCAACTATTTTAGGTAAGGCAACATTATTTCCCACAATGAGTAAGGCAACACCTTTAAATTACAATGCAACACCTGGAGCAACATTTTGAACTATAAATGTCATATTTTTTGTTATTATTTTAAAATCATGGTTTTAAAACAAATTGAAACACAAATTCGAACATTTATTATTTAACTACTGTTACATCTGTCATCAATAGCTTAAGTAAGGTTACCTATTGATCATATGGTGCAACATAAGAACAATCTCAGCTCAGCAAAGAGGAACTCAAAAACATATTATTGAAATAGATTCAAGTATCCTTCATCTATTCATATTGTATCATAGAAATTACAACACAAAAAAGCACAAAAACATGAGTAAAAAACTTCTATGTTGTTCTTGCTCTGGAAGTGAAAATTAACCACTCTAAGTCACATGATTGAATTTTAAGATATTTTGAAATAGAATAATAACTAAAAGTGAGATGAAAACATAAAAAAGAAACCCCCAATTTATCACAAGCATAAAGATTAAACACATTATATGTACCAGACTACCAGAAATTTTATAACCCTAACCTTGCGGGTGGATCTGACTCAAAGTCGTGTGGAAAAGATGAACTTGATGTTCCTAGGCTGCAGAATCTGCAGATTTTAGCTTCTATGAGTAAAACGATTGAAAAATCATGTTTTCAAGAGAAGCGTAGGACGTAGAAGAAAAAGACCAGAGGATAATGAGGAGAGGAGGAGAAATCATAAGGGTAAATTTTGAGTGGTAGTGGTACTTAAGGGTCCGTTTGGTCCTTGAAGTTGCAAAAAAGGGGTCAAATAAGTCCTTATATAGAAAATTCTGTCTAGACGTGCCATTTGAGGTGGCTCCCGGTGGAATTTTTTGATTAAATTTTTTGAGCATCTTATTCATTAAGTCTAGTTTACTCATACCAAATTTCAGATAAAAATTCAATCGGGAAGACATTCAAATGAATTCTTGAAGATAACTGTGCCGTTAAAAGCGCAGTTATCTTCAAGAATTCATTTGAATGTCTCCCCGATTGAATTTTTAGCTGAAATTTGGTATGAGTCTTAATGAATAAGATGCTCAAAAAATTTCATAAAAAAATTCTACCGAGAACCACCTCAAATGGCACGTCCGGACAGAATCTTCTATAAAAGGACTTATTTGACCTCTTTTTTGCAACTTCGAGGACCAAACTGACTCTTTACTCGTACTTCAAGTCCGAAAGTTCCCCAAGGTCCAATCTAAAAAATTCTTTTCCTCCACTTTTTTGTAAGGACCCAAATAGGTCAAAATAAAAAAGATAGTAAAGTGAACTAGTGAACATCGAATATACGATAATATGATTAACAAATTATAAAAACTACCAAATTACTACGTACTATTCTTGACGCTAAATTTTAGAAAGATTGAAATATACAGTATAAACTTAATTCTACTTTTCTATTGGAATATACAATTTGAACTTTTCATAAAATATTTTTAAAAAATAAAACATATTTTAATAATAATTTAAAGTCAATTGTTTCAGCCGTAATTTACTTCTTTATTATTGTTGTTAACAAAAAAATTTGTTTGACTACACGCATAGTGCAACATTCATAACAAAAAAAATGTTGCTTTATAGTGTTTTTAACACTTACGGAGTACAACCTATCAACATCTTTATGGCAACATTTCTTATTTAATGATGCCTTAGACCAAATTTCTTATGCCTTTATTCAAAATTTAATAGCAACACTTTATATTTGTGGCCATTTATGGTGTAGTGAGTTTTGTGTGACTCACATTCATTTACCTTTTTTTCTTACACAATCACAATTATATATTTCCACTTTATTCTCACTTTCTTAAACTCCGATCCAAGTCAATGCGAGAACAATTTTATGGGACGGAGGGAGTACAAAAGCTAGAAGGCATGAGCTTATTTCAACCGAACATGCACTTAGTAACATTTAGATTTTAGTAATTGAAAAGATCTTAAAAGGAAAAGATGGTAGTTGTTTGGTAAAAAAATTGACTGTTTAATTTAGTTTTGTTTGATATATAGGTTGTTATGACTAATTAATACTAAAAGCAAAATAGACTTTTCTCAGGTGCTACTCTTTGTAACATCTCAAAAAATATCTTTTTATTTTTTGAAAAGCTCTTAAAAATTGGTATGCTAAACATAGAATAACTAAAAGTTTTAGAGATTTTTTAAATAGTACCAAAGCTAAAAGGTAAAAAGTTATGCCCGCCAATCATACACGTACTTTAATCAACACTCGGTAAAACACCATCACATATATTTGAAGTTTTGAACGAGTTATCGCCTCAATAACTAGGTTTGAATAACGATTTTTAAGTTTGGTTTGATTAATGTTTATTCGAATACTAAAGAAAGAAATATAGGAAAAAATCTATGTAAAATATTTTAGAATTCCAAAATATATAGGATTATTTTATTTTAACTTCGGAAATAGGAGTCATTATATTCAAGTATTTTGAGACAATATTTTGAGACAAATGTAACAATAGGATTCTTTGAGTTTTAGTTGTATGCCAGGTCAATAAGAAAATAAATAGTATGTGGTTCATAACTTCATTTTGTACGAAAAAGTGAGAAATAATAAAAATCACATATTTATACATTACAAAGAATCTAATAAAGTTGTTTAGGCAATCGTCCAAAAAAATTGTCAAAGTTATGAAGTAGAATATTAAGGAGTTCGTTTGGTGATTCTTTTTTGAAACAATGGCAAAAATAAGACCATCAACTTTTAGTTGGACAAAAATAGAACTGATTTTCGTATAGGACAAAAAAACAGACTGCAATAGTGTTAAAACTCTAAAAATCCCCTACTAGTCTTGTCCTCCACATTTGCAGCAAATTAAAAACTCTAACAACCGAGCATTCCAGTTCACTGGCAGCGAGGTTATCGTGTCTAGCTTAGGTCTCTGGTTCGAAACCCGCTAGACACATTTAGGGGAGATGAGGGAGGTCTTGCTCCGTTGCATATTTACATGTTTTTGTTGCAAATTTAGATGTTTTTGTGCATATTTACATGTTTTTGTGTCTGAAAAAAAAGAGGGAGGTCTTGCTCCCAATGATTATTCTTACCTTCACGGAGTTGCTCGGCGGCTAAGAAGGGAGGGGATGGCAATTCAGGCTCGAGTTCGCATGGTG